GCCCCATTTAGAATCTTCTTGTGACATCCTGCTTGCTTTTGATTACTTCCTTGTAATCAGACACCTTAGCCCAACTTTGTCTTGTTTACAAATCTGGTTTCCTCCCCTGTTGTCCTGTGGTTTGCCTGCAGTCCTCTTAGTGCTGCTGCTTTTTTCCCTTCACTCTCCTTTCACAGACCTGTGTTCATGCTTTCATCTCTGTGCACATTCAGGTCATCCTTCTCCTCTTCTTTAAGCCTCACCTGGAAGCTCTGTGTTTCCCATAAACCATATACCCTTCCTTTTCCAAGTCACCTCCCTTCTACTTTTAAGCATCAAATTCTGTGAGCCTTTGGTAAAGAGTTGTTAGTGATGGGCACCGAAAAAGCTGTTTCTTAATTTTAAAGGATTGGTGACATGTATGCAGACCTAATGGCAGGACTAGCAAGTTTGACTATGAAGCTGAAGATACATTTTTCCCTTTCCATGCATGCTGCTCTTGGTGCAGCTGACAGTGTGACCAACACTGACAGGAGACTAGAAAGGTCTGAGTGTGCTCCAGAACCCTGGCCTTTGTGGCTGTTGCAAGACTATGGGAATGGCCAAGTCAGAACTCCAGACTGGAAAAAGAGCACAGGCCCAGATCAGTGTCCCATCAGGAGGTGGGGAGGGAGGCAGTGTGAGTAGAAGATAGGCTTTCTCGTCTGTTTCCATTACCATGTGGATGCTCATCATTCTCTTATAAGTAATAGCCTATATCAGGGATGGAGGAAACTGTCAGGAACATAGTATTGCAGACATGCTGGGCCCTGAAGAATAACCCTCTGCACTTCTGCTTGTCTTCTCAGTTGGAAAATGTGAGCTATTTTGAAGCATGAGTTATATCTCTTTGCTCAGAGTATAAAAAAGTAGGACAGCACTCACTTCCCAGCCCCCTTTGCAATTTTCTGACATTCAGCACCCTATGAACACATCTGCCTTCAGACAGACCAGTTTTGCAGACAGTTTTGAGTGACAGCTGGCCTAAAGCAAGCCCTGACTACTCTCTTTGGTTACTTGCATTACTAAGTCTTACATCACTTTATCTACCCGGTCGAGTACTTCCATAAGATGTAAGCATTTAAAGATACAAGTGATGTCACCATGTGATCTGATCTCTCTGCCAGCTCAGAATTGTTGCCTAAATCTGCTTCAGAGTGCTCTGTTTGCTGACTGTGATGATCTCTAATGCTTCCAAAACCTCCTCCTCCTGTTCGTCTCTCTGGTTAGCCTGGCAGCTCAAGGTTTAAATTCAGGGGAAACTGCCCCGAGGGCCTCAGTGGGAACCTGTGGCTTCCCACTTTGTGTTGTTCAGCGACGCATGGATAAAGCTCATTGCCTGGAGAAGCAAGCACACACCCCAGGTGTTGTATGCAGAGAGGAAACTCAATCAGACCTAAGGGGGAATTTCTGAGTTCTTCTGTAGGCACTTTACACACAGTGCAGATGCGGAGCTGAGCCATGTGTTTGGCTCTCAACAGCATAGTATTTCACACCATGGGTTGTTACTCTGAACTGTTTTCTGGTCTGTTTTTTAACTTTCTACATGACCTTTGACTGACTCCAAACTGTGCCACACAGCATCCTAGCAATGTGCCTTGCTCTGTTTCTTCTTTCTGACCTTTGGAACTGCAAAGCATGAGACCTTATCAGGATTACAACAGCAGCCCCAACCCAGTGAGCAAAATTGGCACCAAATTGTGGTAAGAAAGGGCGCTGAACATAGGCATGCCACCACACAGTGGTTTTTAAAGCCATCACTCTTTGAGTGGCACCCTTAAAAGCATCCTATATGGTATGTGGTGTTTCTGTGGTCAGCACTTTATGCTGGCAAGCTACAGATGCAACAAGAGTCTAATAACTATTTGCTGTTTGTGCCTGGGGAAAGCCCTAGTACCATTATCACCATGTTGGTGTTGACTTCTTCTTGGTTGGGTTTGCCAGGCTGTTGGTTTGTTTCTATTTTTGCTGTGGGGGTATTTTTCCTCAGCATTAAAGGTGGGTACAGAACAGAGCAAGAAAATAGTCAAATACGTTACCTGATTCTCTGGCAAGGTATCTTGCTATTGCCAGGCTCTGGTGAATGGTAACTCCATCTACTTCCAGAATGGGGATTTTGCCGAATGGGATAGCTTGGAGGAGAAAGTAAAAAAGAAAAAAACAAGCAGAAGTTAAATCACAGCCCTTAACGGTGGGAGTCTGTAATAGCTGCACTTCTACCACTTGCCGGGTATGCACTGTTATGGCATTTAACAGTATTTCTGTATGGAAATGCATGGACTAAAATGAAAAAGAACTAAGGTTGAGGATACAACCAGATCACATTGCAAGAAGGCAACTATAACATAGAAACCAGGTACTGCATTCCCTACTTCCTAGCCTTGTGCTGTAAAGGCTGAATGTGCTCCTACATACCCTGAATTCTTCATGCAGGGACACTTTTCAGTAGAATCTTGGTTTTTCCTTTTCTTCCTTGTTTTCTCCTCCCCAGAAGGGTGACTGCTAAGGTTAAGCAAAGTACTACTGAAGATTTGCAGGATCCAGATGGGGTATGAAGTAAAAGACTGGTAAAGCCTACAGAGGTGCTTTTTCATTTACACTTGTTTTAAATTCAGAAGCAGTGATTCAGAGAACTATCTGTATTTCAGAACTTACGTTTTGACAAGACATTTCACTTGACAGTCATCAGCAAGAGACAAATATATCCTTCACACTGAACCACAAATGTTAAGATACTCAAATTTACTTGACTTAGCTTGCATGGAGAAGTCATGGGGGAGAAGCCCTATAGTGAAGAAGTCTCCAGACTTCAAGATTAGGGGAAGACAAACTAAGCAGGTGTCATGGATATCTGTAAGATCATGGATATCTGTAAGAGAGTTTGAGATAAGAAATCAATTGTACTTTTCAGTTATCAATTTAGTAGCATAAGGCACATGAAAACTTGGGCTGCTGTTTTGCTACACTTTGAAGGAGCTGCTAGCATGGTATCAGATGGGTCTGGAATCTCTGAGCAAAGCTTAAGCTGGGAAGAATTGTAGTATTTAGGGTGGCAAGAATCCGCTCATGGGAACCTGGTGCTGTTCACCAGAGGAACTTTAAATCTCTGCATTTCAAAGAATGCTATTTTATAAATTCCAAGTATGTGACCGCAAGTGCTGGTCACAGCCAAATGCTTTGTACCTGATTTTCATTTGGATTACACTTTATGTATGCTTATCTTAAGACCGTAAAAGGGCAATAGCAGAAAAATGGGCATGTTGGCTATTGGAAACATGCAAAGCACTTTCCAGAACTGTCTTTATGGAACAGATGGAATGACACTTCTACTCCATGAGTGTTTTTTTAGTTCTTAATGAAAAGGGATAAATAATGAAACCTCATGCATTCGTGATGTGTTTAGCAAGCTGGATTCATCAGTGATGAACACTGCCACGTGGCTCTGTGGTTTAGCATGCAGTGTGTGAATCACATCAGGTACAGGATCTTAGATGTCAAATCTGTATCTGCAAAATGAATTTGGCAGCTGCATGAGACATCCATGACTCCTCTGTGCACTTTTTTTTTTCCTGCATCTGAACACAGTACTCATGATACCTATTTTTACCCCTAAGTTCAGCACGCTGTGAAGTATAAATTCTTATGCTGGTGACTAGAACCACAAGAGCTCAAAGAGCATTAGCTGCTGTACCCCAGGGAGAAAACATGCACTGCTACTTGCTATTGAAACAATAATAGACATGTTGAACAGAAGACTTCACGTGCTTATTTTCCAGCGAGCAGCAACTTCCTGGCAAGTCCATGTAGTGCTTCACTGAGAATCCAGAGAGAAAATGATGCACCCCTGAATGCTAAACTGAAAAGCTTTCTGGTTGTGAAAATGAGAAGAGCCTTGGTTCTGTGCTGTGGACTAATGGTGCAGAATGCCCTGAGTGTCGTTGCCTCCAAAGCCACAGAGCTGTGAAGGAATGTCTTCTTATGCAGGATACCAGCACATCTTTTAAGCAAGTGCAAGTAGAGGGGATGAGAATGTGCGTGTCTGCTGGAGGTGCCAGCATGGCCAGCCTTCAGGTCTCCAGACTGCACAAGGCCATACACCAATGCCTGAGAAGAGGTAACAGCAAAAGTGCATCCAGCTCAGGAACAATAGCAGCTGCCCCTGACAGGGTTAAGCAGCCTTTTCGGAAGTCCCAGTAGGAATGCGATGGGCTGATGCAGCTTTGGCTAAGTCAACTGAACCAGTGACTAAGCCAAACTCTGTGGCAATAACTGTGAAAATGATGATTGATGCTCAGGTTGGGAAACTATGGTTCCTTCATCTAGAAACCGAATAGACCATTTTCTGCTATGTTTACATACGGGGAAAGTCTAAGAGCCACAGCTCTGTCTGATGTTTTACTTTATCAGTCGCAACTAGGAAAATGAAAGATGGCTTGTTTGTATGGATACATTATTTCTTAAGAAATTCTTGATTATAGCAAAAGGAGGGAGTCATCTTTATGACAGTTGAGGAATATGGATTAAGGTGTGAAAGGCAGCTGGGTGGCAGAGTGGTAGTAATCTCTCATATTCTGTTTCTCAGGAATCTGACCATTTCTGGATTCACTTTTTTTTTTCCCTAGTAGTTGACAGAATTAAAGAGAATTGCTATTCACTCCTTGAAAACATGCGTAGTGCCTACAAAATGATCCTTCCTCAGTGCTGAGCTATTTTCATTAAGATCTGGTTACTCTTTCCTGGAAAAAAAACAAGTGTACGGTTAAAAATACAAATACAGCTTTCTTTTGTTTGCACTACAAATATTCATATACTTGCGCGATTCATAATGCAAGTGTAAAATCAATAAATGAGAGCAGATTTTATTGCACATTGTCCCATGCGACTTAAATTTCCAAAAGACGTTATGCTTAGATTCATAATGAAACTTGGGGTTTTTTTGCTAAGAGGCAGCACATCTATAGCCATCGTTACTAAACAACAGACTATTTAAAGCAGAACAGATGGTAAATGAGAGATGTTCCTTCCTTTCTTGTGTGTTCAAAATGACATTTGATTTTTTTCTTATAAAGAACAGGGAAAAAAAATGTGATTTGAATATAAGCATAGTGCTTCTGCACACTTGTGCTGTGCAGATCATTGTGAGAATCATTGTTGTTTCTTCTTGGGTTCAGGGCATGCTATTCTTGCACACCAGAAAGTATGGCAGATATCCACGCTGTTTTACAGCTGAAGAAAAGAGCAAAGAACAGTCAAGGAGCAGAAAATATTTATGGTACATCATCTCCTCTGTCTTGGGCGAAAAGGTATAATGGCTTATAAAGTTTCATTTTCAGCCTGGAAAACTTGGGGAGGGGGGGAATCTCTTTGCCTTTGAAGCATTATTATCCAAACTACATGTATTGAGAGCAAAGTTTTTAGTAACCTGCAGTGAAGTATCTTTTTGCTCTCGTAACTTAAAAGAACAACTTCCTATATTGATAAACTCATAGCAAAACCAGGAGATTGACTGTATGTAGAAGTTTGGCTCTTGTGGGCAGGAACATGTTCTCTGTGAAAAATGGACACTTCCTTTTCCAAGTGGAGAAGAGGGGAGTGAATTTGTATCACACAGTTCATCCTAAGGCAGGATGTAAAGAGCCTTCAGGCTGGATGGGTGCAGTTGGATTGCTGGAGGCAAGGTCAGGGTTGGGATTTAACAAATGACCTCAGTGTGGCCTGTAAACACCTCGCCTGTAGTCCATTTCTTGAAGTGCAACAAAAACCACAGCCAAGGGATCCAAACTACAACAGAAAACCATCTGTCTGTAAATAAATTTAAGCACCTTTAGACTCAACAGTATGGGCTTCTGTGGCTTGCTTTGAGCCTCCTGTGGTGCTTTTCACCCCAGCTCTGCTTATTGACAGCACACGTTCAAAAAACCTCTGGGCATGGCCAAATGTGCCATGTGTATAATCATTGCATTAAAACTGCTAATTTTTAGATGGTTTTGGTGAAAGACATAGTTTGTGTGACTCCAGATGAAAAAAGCGCATAGGTTCATTCCTGCCAGGCTCCTACATTAGGTGAGCAAGTGAAAGAGGTGCCAAACGGAACTGGAGAGTGAGAGGGAACTCTTTCGGGTATAATGAGGTTGTGGGGGCAAATCATGAAACAACATGTATCCGAGAGCAATCATGAATGAACAGTTACACCAGAGTAGGGCAGATTGGAAGGATGTTCATGTCACTCGGCTAGTTTTTCTTTAACTTTGGTCGGTTAGGGGGCTGCTTCGTGCTTACGTCTGTTTATACCCTTGTGTATCCATATGAACGTCCTTTCCATGTTTTTCAAAACAATGTGTCTTGCAAAGTTTCTAACTCCCACTTGGGCAAATACATTTTAAGAAGGAAAACCAGAAAAATCTGTTGCTGTCATCATACAAACAGCGTCATTTCTCAGGCGTGCAGAAAATATATGACCTTTCCCTTTCAGTTCCTGCTTGCTTTGCTGCTCCTCTGAAGTAGAAGGTGCTATGAAAACTTGTGTTGATTTCCAGATTTAGATTGAAAACTCACTGAAAAGAGGAACAGGGTTTTTAAAGAGAATGCTGTTTAGATAACTAGAGCTGTAGTTCCTTTGAATTGAACTTTCATGAGCATATTCTTGCTTTTCCTGTTCTCTTGGTTATTTGTTGGTTTTACCATTGAATGCTGGCATGAAGTCTGCACAGGCTTTACACTCTCCATGAAGAAAACATTGACACAGAGGGTGAGCGTAAGTCACCAGACTGATCTGCAGTTTCTTGTCTCATTTTAGGAAGGTCTCACTGAAGGATCTGTGAGGTGTTTAGGATTTGGATGAATTCCTTTTTACACTAATTTTGGTTAGCTTTTGTGGATAAAACTGTGATGTTTATGTAGTCTTTGCTGGGTACTGGTGAGGGGAGATGAGGTCTAATGTGTGTTTAAAGGAAGGGCACCTGTATAAATCGTCTCCATCTCATGAAATCCCTAAGGGCTGTGATAACTGTTCCCATCCTGGCATGCCTATAGGTTCTCACTAGTCTTCAGGCCTTCCTTTGACCATGAGCTCCTCACTCATCTCGCTGGGCATGACTCACTAGGTGGTGCTCATGTGGGCTAGTTCATCTGTCAAGGACAGGGAGGGGAAACACAACACAGCTGAGCAGAGTTTTGTCCCAGCCTGGCAGCTAGGCTGGTGGGCTGCTGGTGTGAAGAAACCAGCACTTAGTGCTGTACTATGCTGCTCACTGCTGTCCTCCTCAACCCGTGAGGAGCCCCTATGCAGGTACAATTTTAGTTTTTGCCTTGCCTTAGCTCTTTCTTCCTTTTCCACTCATCTTCTTCATTCTTCTTCTTCTCATGTCTGTTCTTTCACATCATCTCATCTCTATGCTTAGCTGACTCACCTCAGCTTTGCTCCCAGAAGTGAGTTTTGTATGAAAATTGATGAAGCAAGCCTAACCTCTGTGCAGAGACCTGACTCCTTGTATTCTTAAGCAAACTCGAATTCTTTGACTTGTTCCCTTACTGGCTCAAAAAAATGAAGTCCTCTCCTTGTTCAAACTTCTGCCCTAAGTAATTTTTAATTTATATTATTTCATCATACTTGAAGTTATTAAAAAGAGGGATGTTACATTGTACTTGCAGAGTCTGCAAGTATCTTTCATAGGCAAGTAGGTAAATGCAAACATGGTGTATGCACGTGTGTACAGCCATTTGTCAGGTATTTCTTACTCTCACCTCAATATGTAATTATGTAATTAGTTTAATTAATTGGACCAATTTTTAATGATTTTTGAGGGTTGCAAAATAAGCAGTGTACCAAACTGCTATTACATTAGCTGCCGTTACATCAAACACAACTGTAATTCCCTTTATCATTGTTAAACACCACCCTTTCATTTTCACCAGAATAAGACTGGTTGGAATCTGCTACTCTCTTTCTTTTCTTTTTGAAGTAAACCCAGTCCAGGCAACATGGAGAAAAAGAGCCTGATCTTCATAAGAACGATCTGAACACAGAATATGAATGATAGTAATGTAGAAGATCTCAGCAGAGTGAACTATGCTTCTGGTATGCACAATGGCTTGGAGGCATCCCTCGTTTCATATTTGCTGTAGAACGCAGCAGTAATTGAGTTGTTTTAGGCAAGGATCCTGCCATCTGCTTTCCTGAGGACTGGCTTTTTCCTCTTCTATTCCTGCCTTCACTGAGGGAAGTGAGGCACATTTTGAAAATTCGGCATAGTAGAGAATGCAAGTGGTCTGTTTCCTTCACGGGGCATGGTGCATCTCTGCTGCATGCAGTATCGTTGTGGTATTAAGACACACAAACCCTATACAGCCTAGTCCCTAGCTAGGAGGCAACCACTTCTTGTGTTGAGTCATAGCCTGCGAAGTCAGTGTACTTTATGGAAGACCGGGGCAGTGGCTTTTGGTTGTCTTGTATAGTGTAAGGCTGGTTACTGGGAGGCCCTGTTGCTGCCTTTTATTCAAAGTTTTGCTGAATGATTTGCCTGTGGGAGATTACTTTGTCTGGAAATACCATGACTAATGATTGCTTCACAAAGGAGGAGACAGTTGTCAGCTAGTTGATCTCCAGGCGATTTCCTTAGCAGCATTACATTGTTAACCATGCAAACGAGATACCTTTATTCTTGTTTTAATTGAGGAACCTCTTAACTTGCATATTGTCTGCAATGTGGATGCCACTGGTGGCAGATTCCACCATCACATTGGTGCTTGATCTAGGATTCAGGGAGCCTTCCAGAAGCAGAAGTTTAGCATCCTGGTATGAGATGTAATAGCACTTTCAGGCATACATCCAACTGTTTCTTTGTAGGTCTATGTTTTCCTGGTCAGTTAGCACGATACATTCCAGTTCCCATCCACTGACTGCCTGGGTGTCTACAGAAGCCTGAAATTCAAAGAACTCCTAGGCCAACATAAATTTTGCACAGATGATTTCACAAATCTGAGAGCAGCAGCTCCCACATTTTACTAAACTCCTTATCTGCTTTGGCATTTCATCTAGGGATCAGCCATAGTAGAGGCTCCTACGAAATGCCATCATGCAGAGAAAATGAAAAATCTTACTTAACCCTTGGTAAACCTGCTAAAAAACTGTTCACACCGCAGAAAGAGAAACAAAGACACCCAAAGGTTAAATGACTTAACCAACACTAATTAATGCAGCAGACACAGCTACAAACTGTCTTAGTATTTCGAGGGTGCCTCTGCTCCCAGCATTTTCATGGCCATACACTGTAATGAACAAGTGCTGTACATATAAAGCTCCACTGGTAGGTTCATGATGTGAGAGTGCTGGCTCAGATGTTAGGGACATCATCGGTAATCAAAGAGAGATGCAATACCTTCTCCTTGTCTGACAGATCTGTTGTTAGAACATCTTGTCCTAGGATATTAATGTCTCTGTAGCATTTAAGTGACTATGTATGCTTTGCCTTTTTTATTTGTCTTACTTAAAACTCAGTATGCAAAACTCTACACAGAATTATACTTTGCTAATATTCTCTAAACTTTGGTTCAGGACATACATGGATGTGTGTATAAGTGTGAATATGTGTGTAGTTGAGTATGAATAAGGTCTATGCAGAACCTTCCTCAGTTCATCTGAATTCTTGATCTCATTTTTAGTTTCTACCCTTTTTCCCTGAGAATTGCAGAGGGAGAGAAATAAGCTATATCACGTGGTCAACAGGCTTAAGCTCTTACAAAGAAGAGGTTTCTGAAGGCAGTCATACCTATCTGAAAAATAATACCCCGTTTCCACCGCTTCATTTACACTCCTCTGTGGATTGTTAGCCAGTGTTTTCCAGATTTGGCACCACTGGTGGCTTCAGCTGCCACCTGGAAAGCAGTAGTGCTTGAGTATTTGTCATTCAAGTCACTATGAACATTATGGAAAAAGACCACATTTAACTGCACCCTGCAAGATTTTGGTAGCCTGCTGACTGGGCTTATTAAATGTGAAAACCTGTCAAGAAACATTGCTTAATTAATAAAAATCACCTTGTGCATTACTTGTGCCTTTTCTCAAACTAGAAGTACCATTCTTCATCCTGGATGTGAAAAGTCATAGCCTGTTAGCAACATACAGGTCAAATCCATGAAATGAAGACATAGATATCTCTGATTTCATATTCTCAGTCTCCAAACTCAGGGTCTGTTTCATTTGAACTGAGCCTCATTTAATGAACAGAAATAACAAATACCTTTAATAGCTGGAGAGAGGTGACTTTAAAAAACGTGAAATGGGTGGAGTATAGTATCATGCAGAATACTCTGGGAAGGTCTGGTAGGGCTTGTTCCTAGGAACAACTGTTTTCTAGCACGTCTTTTGTTTTCTTTTTGCTGTATCAACTTCTGTTTTCTCTCATCACTTTCCCCCTCTGAAGACCTTTCTGGCTGCAAAGGGGTATCCTTCTTGACATTTATTTCCAGTTTGGTTTTCTAAAACCAAGGTGAAGGCTGCAATGTGATCTTCGAGGCCAAATCCTCCAAAGCAGCTGAGAAGATTAGCATGCATCTCGTTAGCTTTAGACAGACAAAAGCTGAACTGAATTGATAAGCACTAAAAGCCCAGCTGTTTGGCAGCAGGTAAGCAATTTTACGTTGTCTGAAGATTCGGATCTGTACTTGTGTGAGAGCATCAGAAATGACATTTGGCTGTGTAGACAATTAAAATGCCCATATAATTAATTAAAGCCAGGAATTACATGTATTTCTGCTTGTGAAACACATAGATGCCTCTTCATTTGTTATGCTTTTTGACAGCATTTCTAGCAGAGCTTTGGGCATAAGATCTCATGCTACTTACTTGGTTTGATTTTGGGCCAGTCTGCTGCTTCTATCCTGTGGTCTTCATACTTCTTGCCTGAATAGGCAAACAGGTAGCGGCTGATTTCTGCTCGTCCTCGCAGATTGAAGTACGTCAGCTTGTACTGAGGCATGCTGGTTCCCTAAAAGGGAAGGCACCGTGTTGCTTTAGAGATGGGTAACTAAACTCCGTTTTGCAAAAGCGAGCCATATGCTTGTTTTTGAAACACATGCTTGTACAATGCAAAGGACATATTACAGTAAGACACCATGTGTTGTACTTTGCAATCATTGCATTAGTCACGCCTTTTTGTTCTGCATTTGTCAACCGCAGTGTTTGGACGTGGACAACGGCAGTTAAACCTCCAGTTCCTCCTTGTGTGTGTCCAGAAAGATGGTTTGATTTTTTGGACATACTAAGAACTTTCAGCTTTCTTTTATTTTTCTTGGGACTCCAAACTTGGGCCATTTTTATAAAGTTTTTCAGAGTGCATATCTAAGATCATATACTGTAACAGAAGATAGTTGCTGCCTGGAGCAGCAGTTTTGCTCAAGCCTGCCTTACTCAGCCTCTATTGCTAATGGAAACCTTCATCAAAGACCGCAGCTAAGAATTGCCAAACGGTTGTGATTTTTCTCATTAACTATTATCGTAGTTGCATAGGCAATCAACCCAAGTTATTTTAGAAGAAAAAAATTGATATGGAAACCAGTCTACATTGTCATTTCGAAAAAACAGTTATCAAATTGTGTTTCTTGTATGGAAGCCAAAAGAAACCCTGAAATGACTTTATTAAGTTTTCATATGATTTTCCCTCCCCCCTACAGTTCTAGTTAGGATTCATCTAACAAGAAAGCTCTATTTGTTTCTCCGTGTAACAGGCAACAAGAGAAAATGTTCATGAGTTTGTACAACAAAGATGATGCAGGAAAGTTGAACAGCTATGTCTGCTTTAAACCGAAGTAGGCTTTTAAATTCTGCACACGTAGCACTTTAACAAGAGATCTATGAGTTCGGCTGAGGTGTAAATGCACTATCTAAAGGAAACTAAAACAACCACCCACCTCCTCACTGAAAGCAAAACCCTGTCTCCTTTTGGCCTTAAAGTAGACCTTGTATGTCATTTACCATCCTTTTATACCCATCAGATTCAGAGTGTTAGTAATAATGCACACATCATCAACTCTAGGAAAGAAAGGGAACTTTTTTAATGAGTTAGTGCTATTACATAACCTTGCAATAGAAACAACCCCTTATTTAGTCATCTTGCCTTTGAAAACATGCTTGAGGGCAGATGTATCATCAGCTTTCACTTTAGAGGGAGAGGCTTTTTGTTCAGAAACTGTGAAAGCTTGCACTTAACTAATGCTGACAAAAGCAAACCGCCTTTGTCACTTTCTTCCCAAAAGTGAAAACATCTACTTCCCACCCTCAGAGTAGCAAAGGCAAAAAAAAAAGAAATACCTACAGCAAATGAACATGCTGGAGGCTGCTTAATTCATGATGAAAGTTACCTGTTTC